TTGACAAACGTAGATGAAATGATGCCTAGATGATGATTCTTCTTGAAAGCATCTTTCACATCAGAGACTCCCAATATTGCATCCAGTATATTGTTCCTTCCAGATCAAGGGTGCCGTGAAAGTTACCAGACCATCTCAGACTATGGAGAGACAAGGGTATGTTCCCCTTTGTTAGAAAAATCGTTGTCCATCTGTAGCCACATTTAAAACACCGTGTTCTAAAACCTTTTATAGCCCTGAAATTCCAAATAGTCAGAGGCATCTTTTATTCATATTACGTTCTTGGATCTGCCTTTGGGGAATTTAGGTTCTCTTCACACATCGAGTTCTGACTGTGGGTTTCGTTTCAAGGGGAGCAATGACCCTTGGGTCTCAGTTTCTCAGTCCGAGATGTGGGGGCTTTGTGTGGCATGTGTCACCCCCTCACCTCTCAGGATGGCTGCCATGATGAACACATTTATGGTTATAAAGTACTTGGACAAAAACAAGTGCTGAGAGAGGCAGTTAATACTGAACCAGGGTGAAAGGTGCCTGTGTGCCAAGTTTTCCCAGTGTTCTGACCCTCTGAAGAAAGAATGGCAGTCAGCAGACTGTTTGGAGGCATTTATTTTGTTCTTGCTCAAAGGTAATGCCATTTTATTTCTCTAAATAGAGTTGTTTATAGGTGGATGGATGGGCTCTTCCTTCCAAGACCTTCCCTGTCTCTTGACCTCCCTTCCCATCATCAGGTGTGTGATCTGAATGAAGCACTCTTCCAGAGCATCCTCTCTTTGGATTGTTCTTTTCTGCCTTCCCCTAATCTGCTTATTTTCTTGGTAAATTTTTTCCTTGAGGTTCAGATCGAACTTCGTATTTTCCGTAATCCCACCAGCACCAGGCTGACTCAGTCTTTCCCTCCCACGCACTTTCATAATATCAGAGCATGGCATTGAGAGCATACTGGGGGAACACGTCTGACACCCCCCTTTCCCCTCCCCCCATGGACTCCCTAAGGGAAATGCGTTTTTGTGTGCCACTGTTGGCAACGGAATAGAAATACATAATAATTGTCCACGTCAGAGGCGAAACCCAAGCCACTTGTCTTTTGGAAACACATTTTAAGACAGAGAATTAAGACGTGCCACTCACCATATCCAAAATCTCTAAGCCAAGCCCCCAACGTCTTACTGCTCTAACTCTACCCTGGGGTGGTATTTACCAAGCTGGGCTACAGTTGGGCAAATACATGCATGCATCACCTGCTAATTTACGTGCCCTTTGAGGGCCCCTGTCCCATTCACCGTGAAGGCAGCTAACACCTGACCTGTTGTATTGTAGGTGCTCAGGAAATATTTGTAGCATGAAGATAGATCCCTTCAACGAAGGACGGTGAAAAGCCTGACACTGATTTTAATCAGGTGTCCTGTTCTGTTCCTTATCTATCGTGGATATTTCTTGTGACCATAAAGTACAAGGAGTTCCTCTTTGAAGTCCAAGTTTAAGTCCGGAGGTGAATGATGGCAAAAGACCTCAGTGAGCAGGAGGCCCTGCTTGCAGCATAGTCAGGAAATAGATTATTTGGGGATTGTTGACGTTTTCTAGTAAACTGACAGCACGAGGTTTGCCAGAGTGAGTCAGAGCTATTCCGTGGCGAGAGAGATGAATTATAAATACTTCAAACTGTGTCACTGGAAACACCTCCCTCTGCATTTTTCCTCTGGGAGGGTTGGGAGGGGAGGCTGGGGCAGGCAGGCGCCATACACCTGCTCCGGGGCCCCTCCATCAGCAGACGTGCTGAGAAACGCTGACACCGGGGTTTCCGGGTCCACATTCAGCTATTTCTCCCACCAGCAAGGACGGCTTGTCTCCTAATGACCAACCACCGGGACAGTTTCTTGTGGCCTCATCTGGCTTGGGCCTCACGGGCATGTGCCTGTCACTCCATGCCTTCCAGGTCGGTGGCACTTAGATCAGCTCTGACCTGCAGGAAGAGAATCCCATCCCGCACATGTAGGAATAGGAGATCTCCGGCTCATCAGTATAAAAGGTCTTTATTGTCCTCTCCCATTGAAGCAGTTAAGAATGACCAAAGTGTGTTTTGTCTTTGATAACCTGCTTTTTGCCCAGGTATTAGATACTCACGTTTCACACTGAGTTCGTACCGGGAATGGTCAAATTCTCTTTACAAGGCATTGAGCACCTAGTATGTGTGGGAGATATGTTGGATATAGGGTGACAAAGGCAAGACTCCTGCCCCCCAGAAACTTCTCAGCTAGCAGAGGAAATAAAAGTCTACAGATAACCGTATCACAGAGCAGGATATAAGAAATACCATGGGAGAACAAATACTGCAATATATGTTAAGAAAAAAAAAAAGAAGAAGAAGAAGAAGGTAGCAGGAGGGGAAGAATGAAGGGGGGGAAATCGGAGGGGTAGACGAACCACGAGAGACGATGGACTCTGAAAAACAAACTGAGGGTTCTAGAGGGGAGGGGGGTGGGAGGATGGGTTAGCCTGGTGATGGGTATTGAGGAAGGCACATTCTGCATGGAGCACTGGGTGTTATGCACAAACAATGAATCATGGAACACTACTTCTAAAACTAATGATGTAATGTATGGGGATAATATAAGAATAAAAAACTTAAAAAAAAAAAAGGAGAAGAAGAAGAAGGTAGCAGGAGGGGAAGAATGAAGGGGGGGATATCGGAGGGGTAGACGAACCACGAGAGACGATGGACTCTGAAAAACAAACTGAGGGTTCTAGAGGGGAAGGGGGTGGGAGGATGGGTTAGCCTGGTGGTGGGTATTGAGGAGGACACATTCTGTATGGAGCACTGGGTGTTATGCACAATGAATCATGGAACACTACATCTAAAACTAATGATGTATGGGGATTAACGTAAGAATAAAAAAAAAAAAGAAAAGAAATACCATGGGGGAGCTGCTACTTTGGGACAAGACAGGCAGGAATTGATTCTAGCTGGAGTAATTCTGGACACCTGGAGGGGGGAGGTCAGAGTTGAGCTGCACTTTTAAGCGCAGGTGGCTTTTCAGAAGGATCAGATAGGAGAAGGCTGAGAAATGTCAGGAAAAGAGAAAGAAGCACAGGAGCGATTAAGGGTCGGGATATGTTCAGGGTAGAGAGAAGTTTAGAAACTGAACAAGACCAAAGCTGGTGGGTTGTGATATGTGGTCAGAAATGTAGTGCCGGGACCCTATGGAACAGATCCATGGGGCAGCCTTTTCTAACATACGGGGCTTGGGCTTCTGGACGCCTGTGACCCTCCCAGAGCCTATCCCCGTCTGCGGCCTCTTCCTTGAAGGCATTTCAAGCCTGGCTCTCACCGCCATTTGGAAATCTTGCCTATGGAGAGTATTGTCAGAGAGTAATCTGAGACGCTTGCTGTCCGTTAAACTAATTATGCTTCAGTCCTCATAGTGCCTTGGTGCTCTCAATCCTGAAGGCTCAGCCGATTTTATGTAGTATCTGAATTATTAATGGAGAGGATATGGATGAGGGGGCTTGGCTGCTTGTCCTGTTTTGAGCAGGTCTCGGGCGGCTGACATTACGGGAAGAGAGGCCGCTGCTTGCCGAGGGATGGATGAAGCAGGCCTTCCCGAGGAGCCCTACCCAGGGGGGATCCTGTGCCAGTATGCTCAGAAGGTCACAGCCTGCTTTGGAGGAAAGGGTAAGACCCCCTACACAGTGAGCTTTGCCGAAGAGATGCCCAGGGTTGACCATGCAGGCGAAGAGAAGGGCTAAACTTGAGGCTTGCTGGTCACAGCAAGAGGTAGGTGTAGCTGCTGGAGTGGGAGAACCTCCAAGGGGCCGAGGCGCATCTGAAAGTCCGACTGTGCCCCTTGCGCTGATCTTTCCCACTTAGAAAGCTGTTTCGCTGCTTCTTCCATTCTGCTCAGCAGCAGGGATCATCCCGGTAACTGGGAGCTGAGCTACTGTAGGTACTTGCCATGTACTTGCTGAGCTCCTTTGTTTGCTCATTTCTGATTAAAACCAGAACCCAAACTGAAAAGCGAGTAACCCCATTATCACTGATAAAGCCACAGGCTGTAAATTCAGACCATTCCCTTAGAAAACTAAATGCCATAAAGATTCACATTTTAAGGTGGTGGTTTTCTCTCTTAAAATGTTTTTTCTTAGCAAGAAGCAGATAGATCGCAGCAGATATTTTAAAGGGAGAGGTAGGCCTTTGTCTGGGGGAAGAAAAACCTAAATCATAACATAGACTAAAATTAAAGAAAAGTCAGAGTGCTTTTCTGGAAAAAATCGCTGCAGGAATTGACCTGTGACTGGTGTGTTAAGAAGTAGTGAAGGCATCCAACCTCTGAACACTATGTCGCCTCAGAATGCCTGGCTCTGAGGTTGGGGTTCATCTCATCATCGAGCTCCTGCAGCGTGCAGAGTGCTCGGGCCTCTCGGTGCGAGGTGAAGCCACTTGGTGAATTTGTCCACTGATGGTTTCTTTTCACATCCTAGAAGAGCTTGTGCAGGTGCAGTGGAATTGTTACTAGCAGAATTAGGACTGTCCTACCTGATGAGATATGCAGGCCACCAAAATCTGTGGTGAATGTTGCATTTGTAATTAGCATTAGCTTTGTAGTGTAATGCATTGTGATACTTCATCATACAACTCTATAAACTGTCCCCAAACCCACTACACTTCTTTGAAAATGCTATGCCTGTCTTTTTATGGGCCGTGGCAAGAGGCTGATATTCATGTAGCAGTGGAAGAAATGGGTCCATTGAAGGTTCTTTAGGGATCTTCTCCATGCTGTGCTTTCATGACTGAAGAGATTGCTCTCAGGCAGATCCCCCTGAAAACATATCTTTAAGATTGGAGGCTTGGCAGAGGGGACGGGGGTAGGGAAATGGCAGAATGGGGGGAGGGGATTAACAGGTACAAGCTTCCAGTTATAAGACACAGGATGCAATGTACAGCATTATAGGGAATATAGTTAATACTGCATAAACTTCATATAGTGACAGGTGTTCGCTAGATTTATTGTGATTACCTCGTAATATATATAAATGTTGACTCACTATGTTGTACTCCTGAAACTAAGATAATATTGTATGTCAACTGCACTTCAATAGCAAAATGCAGACGTCTTTGTTTAAAAAAAAAATGATAGGAGGCTTGTCCTCTGCTGGGTGTTTACCCTGAACTGTGTGGAAGAGGTTAAAGAACTCTGGATATCCTGGCGAGCAGAACTTAGTGCCCATTGTCAGTGCTGGCTCCAGCTCCCAAGCAACTGGTGTCTGAGCTTTATCTCTCTCCACCGCCAGAGAAGAGAGCCACCCCTTACATCTCTGTGTAGTCAGATTGTCTTTAAAAGCAAACAAACCTCTGTTATTTTCATCAGCCTTGTCTACGGTCCACATGTAGCTCACTTTCCATCCTGATCTAAAATTCATAAAATAGATCAAATTTCTTAATATAATCCTTTTATTGAAGAATTTAATTTTTCCTTTATATAAGCTATTGGAACACAATTGCTTCTTGAACTGAATATATGGATCTCTAATCTTGTCAAAAAATTTAGGGGTGGCCTGATTATCTACTGATAACAACAGCTAAGTGTTGAGGTGGAGTCCATGCTATAGAATTCGTTTCAGTGGGCAAAGCTTGACAAGTTTAGGGACCCAAAAGGCATACCAGCTTTGCCACGGAATAGTTACACTTTGGCTTGGTCAGGAAGAGGCTGGATTTGAAGAAAATAATCATCTGATCTGTCCAAAGTCTATGTTTGTACATTGTTAATGTATACTAGAGCCCATGTTTAAAGTGGCTGCATCCATCCTCTCTATAAACACACACACACATTTCACAAATGAGCCATGTGAACACACATAAGCAGATAGAGCTGCTCAGATGCTTAGTTTGCAAAGAGCAGGTCTATGGGAACCCAACCAGAGGAAGAAATAGAACACATACAGATTATTTCACCCGCTTTGTAAACTGTTTGTAGAGGAACACCTTGGAAGGATTTATTGTCTGGGGGCAGTAGTGATCTAGGGCTTAATTCCCCAAATCTGAGAACAGAAATTTCACCATGTGACTGTGGTAGTAGAAAGGCTCCCCTATTTCCACCTTCCCCAGCCCCATCCCAATCTGGAAGGCCTCTGGACAGAATCTACTCCTCCAGTCCCACCGTGCTTCCCATTGGGCTAGAGTCATTCTAGCACATGTGGATTCTCTGGATCTTGAACTCTGTTGCCAAGTCTTGCACTAAAGATTAGAAACTAGTTTCCTTTCTCTGCTTCATCTCTCTGTAGGTGTTGTGGAAGGACCCGACGACTATTGTAGGAAGAGTCATAACCTAGGAGTCAGGAGACCTGGATCCGCCGTGGGCTTGCTGTATTGTCCTGGGATCCGCCATGGGCTTACTGTGTTGTCCTGGGAAAGTCACTTAACATGTCTGAGACACCTGCCTCATCTTACAGTTAAAGGCCTGGAGGAGATCAGTGCTTCCTGAGTGCTAGTCCTGGTCTGGGGAACTTTGAGGAATATAAGTTCCTGGGCCTCACCCCCCAAGAGCATCGCATTTGGAGGTCCGGGCTAGTGTTCCACAGTCAAGTGCTTCAACAGAGGATTCTTAGGCACAGCGTTATTTGCGAAGCACTGGACTAGATTAGCTCTGAAGGCCTTTCCAGCTCTCTAATTCTGTTCTGTTTAAAGTGTGTACAGGTTTTAATGAAAGGAAAATGGTATCAGAACATAATGGCCCAGTGACAGGAGAAGGCAGAATGGGTTTTTTTCACTCTGACTTTTGACTGTTGTGTCATTTCAGACGGTCATATATTGTGCTTAACCTTCCTGAGTGGGTGTCAGAGGGCAAACGCTCATGGCGAGGGTCGCCCTTGGTATGTCAGCACCCTAGTTGAGTGAGGGTCCCGCTAGCTTGTGACTTTGTGAAAACACGCAGCTACCCTCATGGTAATTCTGCTTCCATCATGTGATTCTGCACTGGCAGAAACCCCACGAAGCAACATTAAGAATATTATTCGCATTGGATTAATGGAATAAGGCAAAAAGACTGGCACTAGGAGGAGGGGTTTCCCTCTAGAAGGTGGAAAGGAACGTTGACTGTGGCCTGGAGCTGGATTTATTGCTGGTTGAAGCTGAAGACCTCTCTTGAGGTCTCTCCCGTGAGATCTGAAATACTGAAGAACTTGGAATTATTATCTGAGTTTCTTCTGCTCTACATAAGATATATGTAGATATCCTTAGAGCTGTTCGCGGTGCTCCTGCAAGGTGATATTAATATACGAGGACTGTTGGCAGGTGAATTCTTTTAGATACCGCAGGTATGTCCTTCCTCTTGCTCTGGATATTAATCTGGTTTTTGAATATGCATTCACCTCTCAGGCTGACATAAGCCTGAGTTCCTGGTAGCTACTGTTTCTATACCCGATCCCCTGTCTATATGGAGCCCTAAGCTCTTGAGGCTAATCACTTAAATACATCTTCCCTAATCTTCTTTACCGGGTGGTGAAGAAGAAAAAAACAAGAAGGAGCCGGGAGAGTTGAAGGGAAAGCATAACCTCTTGGGCTCCTGGTGTCCGTTTCTCCGTTATTTGCAATCCATGCCAAGATGCCATCCTTCCTCGGTTTAAAGTGTCTGGGGAAACTGTGCAGCTCTGAGAAAAGCAGAGTGTCCTCTTGTGAGAGAGCCAGCCCGACGGGCTCGTACAGAAGAAGGCTGGTCGTGGAGGATGTGAGCATCACTGGGACCCCCCTACCTGCTCACAGGCAGGCCACCATCACCCACTTGTTGTATCTGCATCCTGAGGCCTACTGCACCCTGGAGCACTTGTTTAGCTGCTTGGATCCTCCCGGTAAGTGAAGGAGCCCAGTCTGCACACGGCTTTGTGTTTTGTGATTGGCCTCTGAAGTACCATCTAAAGTCATTCTTCCATGCTTCATTCCTCAAAAGAAACACTATCCCTTACACATAATTAACAGGGGGAGGGTAGGAGGAAAGGAGACTGCAACCTGAGTAGAGCTATGGAGCTAAGTTCTGACGATATTTTCATCCATGATTTTATAATCTCAGCAGCCAGTGTTTGCTCTTTCCAAACTAGGAAGTGTGATGAAAAGGAAAGATCTCTAGCCATACTTGCTGTTCTTTCATATGTTAAAGCGTGGATTGAAAAGATATGTTCAAGGCAGGCTCTTGACAGTAGTAAAGAATGACCTCTGGAAAGGCGAGATTTGAATTGTGTTCCCGCCTAGGGTGCACTCATCGTGTGCGATATTTACAAAAGAAAAAGGAAAAAGAGTTGTAATACTTGGAGAACTGGTCGAAGCTTCTTTTCGGTGAAGCTCATTAGAACATGGTCACCTGTCCATGTGCCCGGGACAGAGAGGGAGAAAGCCCAGCCTGTGGGCAAGAGTGACCACACTGGGGAGTTTGTACACTTTGAATTTATAATTAATGAAGATGATACTTAGCTGCTCGCTCCTTGTCCAAATCAGGCTAGAATCAGTACAGGAGGCAAAGGCTATTAGACATGGTCCCTGAAAAGGAGGAACATGAGCCAAAGGAGCCAGAAAGTCAGATAGCTGCTAATTCCTGGACAGCTCGGAGGAGGGCAGGGTTGGATTAAGGTGAGGTGAGATAGGTGAGTTAACCTCCATGGGGGTCTTTCATTTTGCTTTTCACAATTATTTTTTTAACAGCTTTTTTTTTTTTAAGATTTTATTTATTTATTTATTTGAGAGAGAGAGAATGAGAGACAGAGAGCATGAGAGGGAGGAGGGTCAGAGGGAGAAGCAGACTCCCTGCCGAGCAGGGAGCCCGATGCGGGACTCGATCCCGGGACTCCAGGATCATGACCTGAGCCGAAGGCAGTCGCTTAACCAACTGAGCCATCCAGGCGCCCTAACAGCTTTTTTGAGGTAGAATTCATACACCATACAATTTACCCATTTAGAGTATATATGATTTTAGTTTATTCACTAATATACACTGATATGTGCAACCATCGTCGTCACAGTGAATTTTGGAATATTTTTTATTGTTTCAGAAAGAAACGCTGTACTGTTAGCTACTGCCAGGCTACCACCCTATCCTTCCAACCCCACCCTTAGTCTTAGGAAACCACTAACCTACACTCGGGCTCTACAGATTGCCCTGTTCTGGACATTTCATATGAGTGGAAGACGCTATGTAGTCTTTTGTGTCTGGCTTCTTTCACTTAGCTTGTTTTTGAGTACTTCATTCCCTGTTATGGCTACACAGGGTTGCCTTGTACGCTTACACCACATTTTGTTTATCCACTCAACAGTTGATGGACATTTGGGTGGTTTTCACCTTTTTGGCTGTTATGAATAATGCTGCTATAACATTCACATACAAGTTTTTGTGTGGACATGTCTTTTCATTTCTCTTGGGTCTATTGATAGGAGAGAGGTTGGCAAGTCACATGGTGACTATGTTTAACCTTCTGAGAAGCTTCCAGACTGTTTTCCAAAGCAGCTGCACTTTAACACTCTCATGGGCAGCATATGAAGGTTACGGTTTCTCCACATCCTCGCCGGCTCTTGTTGTTATCTGACTTGTGATTCTGCCCGTCCCAGTGGGGATGAAGTGGAAGCTCACTGTGGCTATCCGGAGCTTTGACGGGGACGGGGAGGAGTGGCTGGCCGATCGCCGCTAAGGCAGGATGGGGTGGGGAACCTGACAGCTCCTTAGTCCTCGCGTTCCCCAACAGTCTCTGCTTCATCCTTTTGGGGGAGCCTGGAGTGGTCATGGAGAAGCCATGACATCTGCTCCCAGCCACCTTGTAAGCTACCCTACAACTGTCTTCAGAACCAGCTGACCACACCTACTGCTCAAGTGTCACGTTTCCATGCTGGTGGAAACCTAAATCCTTTTATTGAGGAGAAAAAGTTTATTCCACAGTTAGGGATACAAACTAAACACAAGCACTGGGTATTATATGAAAACAATGAATCATAGAACACTACATCAAAAACTTATGATGTACTGTATGGTGACTAACATAAAATAATAAAATTAAATTAAATTTAAAAAAAAACTAAACACGCAGGTTTCTGCTGGAGCTAACACTTTCTTGTGAGTGCTTCCACTGAAAGAGATTCAAATCAGATGTTTTTGGACTGAGCTGTTGATGCTTGTGAAAGAGATAAGGTCTGCCGGTAGGAGAAGGCAGGAAGTCAAGGGGAGACCAGTAAACCGTGGTTGAATGAGAGTGTGCTGAACAATGGCTTGTCAGTAGGTTCAATAACAAGAGAACAAACAGTATCAAAGAGAACCCTGGCTAGAGGAAAGAGTAACCATTATTGGGGTCTCCATACCTCAGTGAAGACAGATAAGGAAATCTGGGGGATTAGTTTAGTGTGTGGCTTTGGAGTTGGACGTTCCAGAATTTCAGTACCGGCTCTTCTACTTACTAAATGTGTTATTTGGGGAAGTTAGTGTCTCTAAGTCACGGTTTCTCCAACCATAAGGTATGCAGAAGAATGCATTCCTTCTATGATTGCTGTGAGCAGGTCCACCTCTAGGATATATGCATCCCTGGGCAAATATTTTTTTGTGGGGCCCCTGTGTATATGAACAGTTTGAGTCACCCGAAATCAATGTGTCAACAGCCTGATCTTGTTCCGTCCTGGGAGAAAATGTCATGCCAGCCTGAGGGAGTGATCACTCATCAAAATCCCCTCTTGGAATCGAGTCAGCTCCAGGGCCCTGAGATAATCCCATCAACAGGAGTGCTGGAGCTTCTCAGGGCATCTGGTCAACCCTTTGCACAGCATGGGAGAGACACAGAGGATCATCAGAGAGAGTTCCAAGGAGCAGGCTGCAGTGCCCCACCTACACATCACTGCTGGCTCTAGCTGGTCCCAGCACCAGAAGGGGACTTAGACATTTTTGAAGAAGGATGGTTTAGGGCCAGGAGCCCAGCCAAAGGGCAATATCGATTATGAGGATTAAATGAGAACATGCCTATCAAAACGGTACAGTATAAGGGCACATGTGAGCATCCACTAAATTTTAGCTATAATAGTAATACAATAACATAGTTTATTATTTTAAAAAATAATTATTTCTATTGTTTAGCTTCCACTGCTGTGAAGTAATGAAGGCCCAGGCTTTGTGCCACCGGGGCCCAGAACAATACAGGAAGTAGGATTCCCAGGAAGCCAGCATGTGTGCTCGGAGTATCCTGTTTGGGACAGGTGCTTGGAGGAAGTGCACCCTCCTGTAGCCGTGCATGTTCCTGGACTGGCAAAGCCGAGTGCTCAGGAGCAGCTCCTGGCAGGATGCTCGGAGATATTTGGCAAAGGCCTCCTGCAGCTGCCAGGAAGACCTCAAGATGCTACCAGCTTCCTGTTGTCGTGTGGTGTCGACTCCTACTCTGAGTTGTGCAGGCCTCCATGCTCTTCAAAGTGTCCCTATATAGATCTTTCCTTGGTCGTGCTCAAAACAACCCTCACAAGTTGATAAGGAAGGAACTATTTTCTCCTTTTAAGAACAGGAAGGGAATTGGCAAAAAGTGGGGACATGGCGACAAAGCCAACATGGAACCCAATACACAAAATAGCTTCTGCATGTGAGTGTAATTCTGTAATTCTGTCTGTGACGGCAGTACCATTCTAGAAGAACCGCTGTCGTTCACTGAGGGCCTGCTATGTCTCAGACATTGTGTCCACTGCTTTATAATTTTTCCCCATTAAATATTCATAATAACTCGACAAAGGGAGGACTCCTTTTAGCCTCATTTTGTAGATAAAGAAGCTGAGGCATAGGCTGCTACAAGAAACCTGCCAAAAGTCACATAGGTAGTGAGTGGAAGAGCTAGATTTGGACTTGATGCCAGTTTGGCTCAATACTCAAGTTTAGGGTCTTACTCATGTTGCTGTATGGCCTCAGCCCTACGAGCAGAAGGATAGATCATCCCTGAGATCTGCTGAGCATTGGCACACTTATCATTTTTAAGTAGTAGGACTAATTGAGTACTCTAGCAACTCAAATTTGAAGACTCTCATAAGATAAATTGTTTTCCCCAAGAAAATGAGCAAACTTTTCTTTTCCCTGGTTCACAAACACAAGCTATCTATATGGGGTTTTCTCTTGGCTTTACCGTAGAAACTTAGATAAGTTTTTGAACCTGGGTTTCTTTCTGTCTCTGAGCTGCTGTGACTAGTGAAAATGAAAGAGCATATTTAGGGCAAGTATCTTCTTGCAAACAAACAAGGAGAGACTGGCAGTGTTATCAAACGCCCAAAGGATATCTGGAAAGGGTTCAGTGATTATGTTGTCAGCTGCGTCCAAATCCCAAAGCAGAATGTTCTGGACTGGAGACCAGGGACCAAAGTAGACTTGGCAGTCCCCTCCCTGGAAAAATAATTCATATCCCTGAAGATAGGTGTTTTTGCTTCGGTTCAAGCACCTGCTGTGTCCTCCTTATTATGTTTAGTACACCCCTAGGGACTGTCTTCACTTGGGGTGGTCTCCCCAAGACTCAAATACTCAGATTTACCACATGACTGAGGGAACCTCATGGGTGTTTGCGCATTGTTGATTCTTAAAGTGATATCAACCTGTTTTCAAACTCACCATAACATATAACACTATGATTCTGTAGCTTTCCTTTTCATGTCCCTTTCTCACTCTATTCACTGTCACTAATCCCAATCCCACAGATAGACTTGTATGGCAAAGGGCCAGGGGAAGGGCTTCGATATTGAGGGACTTTGTTGTCTCCTTCAAAAGGCTAGTCTTCAGGACTCTGTGGAGCTTTTCTATCAAATCTTCCTGGTGGCATTGAGATGCTATGTTGGGAAAATGTTTTTAATACTTTGCAAACCT